CAGTATAGTGCAGTATAGACCAGTATAGTGCAGTATAGACTAGAATAGAATGAATATAAACGTTTTCCGAAATTTGAATTTGAAAAGAAGAGAACAGAAAATAAAATAGAATAGAATCTACTTAATATAAAATCTTTTTTTTGAATAGGATAGAACCAACTATTCTTCACAATGAATTCGGATCGATTCTGTATTTTTGATTCCAATTTGAATTAGAATAATTCGATCCGTTCCCATGGAAAATGAATAAACAAAACAAATCGAATTCCGCTACGAATGCAACTAAATGAAATGAGCAACTTAACCAATCGATCCGAAACAAAACGATTTCCTTCATTCCGCACACGTCTCTAGTAGTAAAAATATCAAACTTTAATTTGTAACCAAAAATTGTCATTTATTCCCCATAAATTGCCTGTGAAAGGGGGGGGGGGCAAAATCAATAAAAGAGAACATTCCGGGGGGGGGGGAAGTAAATAAAAGAGAACATTCGGGCGGGGGGGGGGGGGGGAAATCAATAAAAGAGAACATTCTGGGGGGGGGGTTATGCTCTCGGCGCCTCATTGCTGGAAATAGCGTCTCGCCGCAGACTGAAGGGGGACATATTTTGGTGTAAAAGCGATCAGAAAAGTTTTATAAGTCGCTGATATCGACGTAAAAAATGAAGGTTTCCGGGAGGACTTTTTTTTTTTCTTTTTAGTTTTTTTTGGGACGTCAGAGAATCGGGGGCTCGGTGTGCTGCGATGCTGCGGAGCGCTGACTGCTGCGCAATGAATGTACTCTTTACTGTCCCCGCCCACACAGACTCCTCCTTCTATAAACATCTAAACGCTTTGTATATTGTATATGACGGGGGAGGGGATGGGGGGGGGGGGGGGGGGGGGGTGGGGGGAGGGGGCAGCCATACCATATTGGTTGAATTAGACACAAAATCTGTAACATTTATAAAGCGACAACAATATCTTTTTTACTCTCCTTATTGTTACTGAATGAAGTTATCATCGGCAGCCAATCACAATGATCAGGTGATGTTCCCGCCCCCTTACACTCTAATGTCCCCTCCCTCACAGTCACATCAGTCTCTGTACAGAGGAGCTTACACTCTAATGTCCCCTCCCCCACAGTCACATCAGTCTCTGTACAGAGGAGCTTACTCTCCTGTATCTGATGGGACATTAGAGTGTAAGCTCCTCTATACAGAGACTGATGTGACTGTGGGGGAGGGGACATTAGAGCGTAAGCTCCTCTGGTACAGAGACTGATGGGACTGTGGGGGGAGGGGACATTAGAGCGTAAGCTCCTCTGGTACAGAGACTGATGGGACTGTGGGGGGAGGGGACATTAGAGCGTCAGCTCCTCTGGTACAGAGACTGATGTGACTGTGGGGGAGGGACATTAGAGCGTCAGCTCCTCTGGTACAGAGACTGATGGGACTGTGGGGGGAGGGGACATTAGAGCGTCAGCTCCTCTGGTACAGAGACTGATGTGACTGTGGGGGAGGGGACATTAGAGTGTAAGCTCCTCTGTACAGAGACTGATGTGACTGTGGGGGAGGGGACATTAGAGCGTAAGCTCCTCTGTACAGAGACTGATGTGACTGTGGGGGAGGGGACATTAGAGTGTAAGCTCCTCTGTACAGAGTGGTGGGGTGGGGAGCGGCGGTGTGAGAGTGGCGGGGTGGGAGCGGCGGTGTGAGAGCGGTGGGGTGGGAGCGGCGGTGTGAGAGCGGTGGGGTAGGAGCGGCGGTGTGAGAGCAGTGGGGTGGGAGCGGCGTCGTGGGAGCGGCGGTGTGAGAGCGGTGGGGTGGGAGCGGCGGTGTGAGAGCAGCGGGGTGGGAGCGGCGCGGTGTGTGAGAGCGGTGGGGTGGGAGCGGCGTCGTGGGAGCGGCGGTGTGAGAGCAGTGGGGTGGGAGCGGCGGTGTGCGGTGGGGTGTGAGAGCGGTGGGGTGGGAGCGGGGGGTGGGAGCGGCGGTGTGAGAGCGGTGGGGTGGGAGCGGCGGTGTGAGAGCGGTGGGGTGGGAGCGGCGGGGGGGGAGCGGCGGGGTGGGAGCGGCGGTGTGAGAGCGGTGGGGTGGGAGCGGCGGTGTGAGAGCGGTGGGGTGGGAGCGGCGGGGTGGGAGCGGCGGGGTGGGAGCGGCGGGGTGGGAGCGGTGGGGTGGGAGCGGCGGTGTGAGAGCGGTGGGGTGGGAGCGGCTGGGGTGGGGGGGTGGGGAGCGGCGGTGTGAGAGCGGTGGGGTGGGAGCGGCGGGGTGGGAGCGGTGGGGTGGGAGCGGCGGTGTGTGGTCATACCGCGGACAGCTCCCCCTCGCTCCCAGTTACAGGTGATCTGGTTACACGGGGACACGTTGTATCTTTGCGTTACTTACACAGAATTGTCGGTTCTCCTCCTCGCCGTCGCTGATCACACAATGATAAACATTTGTTTTTTTTTTTTCCCCGAGCAACCTGAACCCGCCACAAGAAAATAAATTCCCGGGATTTTGTTGTCCTCGGCTTTATCATACAGACTTCTATTATATGTCACTGAACCCCATGTTGTAATTTGATAATTGCTCGTTACATCATTTTTTTCTTTCATTTCTAATTGCATTTATTTGACTGACATGGAATCAGGGACACCTGTGGGTGGAAGGAACTGAAGCAAATCACATCTCCTTTTAAAAAGGAAACATTAGCGCACCGAGGACGCGTTCTGGATTAATAACGAAATGTAACCTTCGCATCGCTTGCTGTTCCATATTGTCATTCTTGCATTTTCGAATTTGTAAACGCTGCCCCTAGTGGCTGCTCATATATCAGAGAATGTGAATAGTGTTAAACGGTGGTCATCGTGACTACATCTACAACTAATTTACTATATATATATATGTATGTGTATATGTATATACAGTTGCAAGAAAAAGTATGTGAACCCCTTGGGATTACATGGAGTTTTGCATGAATTGGACATAAAATGTGCTCTGAACGTCATCTAAGTCACAACAATAGAAGAACACAGTCTGCTGAACATAATACTACACACAAACATTAGATGTTGCCATGGTTTAATTGCACATAACATGTAAACATTCACAGTGCAGGGAGGAAAAAGTATGTGAACCTTTGGACTTAATAACTGGTTGACCCTCCTTTGGCAGCAATAACCTCAACCAAACGTTTCCTGTAGTTGCAGATCAGACCTGCACAACGATCTGGAGTCATTTTGGACCACTCCTCTTCACAAAACTGTTTCAGTGTAGCAATATTCTTGGGATGTCTGGTGTGAATCGCTCTCTTAAGGTCATGCCACAGCATTTCAATCGGGTTGAGGTCAGGACTCTGACTGGGCCACTCCAGAAGGCGTATTCTGTGCTGTTGCAGCCATTGTTTTGTTGAATTACTTGTATGCTTTGGGTCATTGTCCTGTTGCATCACCCATCCTCTGCGGAGCTTCAGTTGGTGGACAGATGGTCGTACGTTTTCCTGCAAAATGTCTTGATAAACTCTGGAATTCATTTTCCCATCAATGACAACAATCCGTCCAGGCCCTGAGGCAGCAAAGCAGCCCCAAACCATGATGCTCCCTCCGCCATGTTTCACAGTGGGGATGAGGTTTTGATGTTGGTGTGCTGTGCCTTTTTTTCTCCACACATAGTGTTGTGTGTTCTTCCCAAACAACTCAATCTTGGTTTCATCTGTCCACAGTATATTTTGCCAGTAGTGCTGTGGAACATCCAGGTGCTCTTTTGCAAACTTCAAACGTGCTGCAATATTCTTTTTGGCCAGCAATGGCTTCCTCCGTGGTGTCCTCCCATGTACTCCATTCTTGGTAAATGTTTTCCTTATTGTAGATGTGTCAACAAAAATGTTAGCATGTGCCAGAGATTTCTGTAGGTCTTTAGCTGACACTCTGGGATTCTTCTTTACCTCATGCAGCATTCTGCGCTGTGCTCTCGCAGTCATTTTTACAGGACGACCACGCCTAGGGAGAGTAGCAACAGTGCTAAACTTTCTCCATTTGTAGACAGTCTGTCTTACCGTGGACACATGAACATCAAGGCTTTTGGAGATACTTTTGTAACCCTTTCCAGCTTCATGCAAGTCCACAATTCTTGATCGTAGGTCTTCTGGGAGCTCTTTTTTGCGAGGCATGGTTCACATCAGACAGTGCTTCTTGAAACCAGTAAACCCAAAACAGGTGTGTGTTTTTTAAGGGCAGGACAGCTGTCAGCAACACATCCAATATCATCACACTGATTGGAGTCAAGGTTGGCTCACTCCTGGCTCCAATTAGCTCTGGGAGAAGTCATTGAGCTAGGGCCTCACATACTTTTTCCTCCCTGCACTGTGAATGTTTACATGTTATGTGCAATTAAACCATGGCAACATCTAATGTTTGTGTAGTATTATGTTCAGCAGACTGTGTTCTTCTATTGTTGTGACTTAGATGACGTTCAGAGCACATTTTATGTCCAATTCATGCAAAACTCCATGTAATCCCAAGGGGTTCACATACTTTTTCTTGCAACTGTATATATATGTGTGTGTGTTGAAAAAAGGGAATAAAGCTGAAAATCCTTCTAATAGCTTTTATTTCCATCCACACAAATGCATTGGGAACACGACACATTCTATTCCAAATCACAACATGAAGAAAAATACATCAAATTTGTGTTGTTCCTCTAAACAAATGGAAGTGAATATTAGACGGTTCAACAAAATCGCAGTGTTTGTATTCTTCTTTACAAACTCAAACATTCACTATATAAACTGAGAAATGTATGAAGATTTTGCTTTCCTTTGAATCACTTAACCCCTCGCCTACAGGGCACTCATACCCCCTTCCTGCCCAGGCCAATTTCCAGCTCTCAGCGCACTCACACTTTGAATGACAATTGCGCGGTCATGCAACACTGTAACCCATATGACATTTTTATCATTTTTTTCAAATTTGGAAAAAAAAAAAAAAACATTTTTTCTTAGTTTTTGTTATACAATTTTGTAAATAAGTGATTTTTTCTCCTTCACTGATGTGTGCTAATGAGGCTGCAGTGATGGGCGCTGATAGGCTGCACTGATGGGCACTGATGAGGAGGCACTGGTAGGTTGCACTGATGGGCACTGACAGGCATCACTGATGGGCACTGAAAGGCAGCACTGATACATGACACTGATAGGTGGCACTGATAGGCAGCACTGACTGGCACTGATAGGCGGCACTGATTGGCACTGATAGGTGGCACTGATAGGCGACACTGACTGGCACTGATAGGTGGCACTGATAGGCGACACTGACTGGCACTGATAGGTGGCACTGATTGGCATTGATAGGTGGCACTGACGGGTGACATTGAAAGGCAGCTCAGATGGGCACTGATATGTGGCATTGTTGTGGCACTGATGATCAGTGTAGATGTCCCCTCCGCGGAAAGCCGATTACTGGCTCTCCTCTCCTCTGTCAGCGTGACGGCTCGAGAGGAGAGAAATGCCGATAACTAGTATTTCCGTGTTTATATGTGATCAGCTGTGATTGGACACAGCTGATCACATGACCGAGCCAACATCTTCGGCTCTTTCCATGATCCGCTGTGTCCGAGATACACAGCGCACCGGCGATCGCCGCGCTGCGCGCTCCCTGAGCCGCGCATGCGCGGTGAGAATGGAAGGACGTCATATGAGAACGAGAGAACCACCTTGTGCCCGTCATTGTACTATAGGGCGGGCGGGAGTCGGTTAATGAATATTTGGTTGTAGTTGCACTGTTTCTGAGAACTGCTGTACATCTGTGTTGCATGGTGTCACCCAACTTCTGGCCCCTGTGATCAGGTATTCCAGCCCAGGATGATTGGACCACATTCCACAGTTCTTCTCTATTTCTTGGTTTTGCCTCAGAAACGGCATTTTTGATGTCACCCCACAAGTTTTCTATTGGATGAAGATCCGGGGATTGGGCTGGCCACTCCATAACGTCCATCTTGTTGGTCTGTAACCAAGATGTTGCACGTTTACTGGTGTGTTTGGGGTCGTTGTCTTGTTGGAACACCCATTTCAAGGGCATTTCCTCTTCAGCATAAGGCAGCATGACCTCTTCAAGTATTCTGATGTATTCAAACTGATCCATGATCCCTGGTATGCGATAAATAGGCCCAACACCGTAGTATGAGAAACATCCCCATATCATGATGCTTGCACCACCATGCTTCACGGTCTTCACAGTGTACTGTGGCTTGAATTCAGTGTTTGGGGGTCGTCTGACAAACTGTCTCCGCCCACTAGACCCAAAAAGAACAATCTTACTTTCATCAGTCCACAAAATGTTGTGCCATTTCTCTTTAGGCCGGTCAATGTGCTCTTTGGCAGATTGTAACCTCTTCAGCACACGTCTTTTTCCCAACAGTGGGACTTTGCGGGGGCTTCTTGCAGATAGCTTGGCTTCACATAGGCGTCTTCTAATTGTAACAGTCCTCACAGGGAACGTCACACCTTCTTTCATCTTCCTGGAGCTGATTGTTGGCTGAGTCCTCACAGGGAACGTCACACCTTCTTTCATCTTCCTGGAGCTGATTGTTGGCTGAGTCCGCCCCATTTTGGCTATTCTTCTATCCATTCCAATGGTAGTTTTTCGCTTTCTTCCACGTCTTTCAGGTTTTGGTTGCCATTTTAAAGCATTTGCGATCATTTTAGCTGAGCAGCCGATCATTTTCTGCACTTCTTTATATGTTTTCCCCTCTCCAATCAACTTTTTAATCAAGGTACGCTGTTCTTCTGAACAATGTCTGGAACGACCCATTTTCCTCAGAATTTCAGAGAGAAATGCACTGTAACCAGCATGTACAACATTTGCTGCCTTCCTTCCTTAAATAAGGGCAATAATTGCCACCTGTTTTTCAAAGAATGAATGACCTCACTAATAGAACTCCACACGGCTATTATTTTGAACACGCCCCTTTCAATGAGTGATTCAATGACACAGAATCAGCAGCATGCATGTCATGACTGTTGGGTCTGTTGGATTTCTATGACTCTACTACACCTGCTAGGAAATTATTTGCCATGTAGAAATATCATTTCCACCAAAAACAGTGATTGATCCGGTTAGTGATGTCTGACTGCTATTATTTTGAACACAACTGTGTATATATAATATATACACACATATAACTAATTTACTATATATATATATATATGTGTGGGGGGTATATATTATATACACAGTTGTGCTCAAAAGTTTGCATCCCCTGGCAGAAATCCTAAAACTCTGGCATTGATATTGAAGATATGACTGATTATGGCCCCCAAAATTGTCTTTTATTTATGACTAGTGACAATATAAAGCCATTTATTATTACAGTCAGGTCCATTCTGTATATATTTGGACACAGGCAGCACAATTTTAGTTTTTTCAGGTATTTACTAAAACATCTTCCAGCTCCAGTTCTATAATAGATCTGGGTGGACAGTGCGCACTCTGAGGTGTCATTTGAGGCTATGTACATCCAGATTGGAGGAAGGGTTTAGGAATTACAGCTCTTACGAGTAGCCATCCCCCCTTTTTCAAGGAATCAAACGAAATTAGACAATTGAATCAAAAGCTGTTTCATGGCCAGGTGTGGGCTACTCCTTCGTTATTTCTTCATCAATTAAGCAGGTAAAAGGTCTGGAGTTGATTCTAAGTGTGGGATTTGCATTTGGAATCTGTTGCTGTGAACCTACGTCATGCGAGGAGCTGTCTATGCAAGTGACACAGGCCATTGTAAGGCTTCAAAATGAAACAAATCCATCGGAGAGATCGCAGCAACATTAGGAGCGGACAAATCAACAGTTTGGTATATTCTGAGGAAAGAAGAACGCATTGGGGAGCTCAGCAATAATACTGTGTGACTGTGGGGGAGGGGACATTAGAGTGTAAGCTCCTCTGTACAGAGACTGATGTGACTGTGGGGGAGGGGACATTAGAGTGTAAGCTCCTCTGTACAGAGACTAATGTGACTGTGGGGGGAGGGGACATTTTATAGTGTAAGCTCCTCTGTACAGAGACTGATGTGACTGTGGGGGAGGGGACATTAGAGTGTAAGCTCCTCTGTAGAGACTGATGTGACTGTGGGGGAGGGGACATCAGAGTGTAAGCTCCTCTGTACAGAGACTGATGTGACTGTGGGGGAGGGGACATTAGAGTGTAAGCTCCTCTGTACAGAGACTGATGTGACTGTGGGGGAGGGGACATTAGAGTGTAAGCTCCTCTGTACAGAGACTAATTTGACTGTGGGGGGAGAGGACATTTTATAGTGTAAGCTCCTCTGTACAGAGACTGATGTGACTGTGGGGGAGGGGACATTAGAGTGTAAGCTCCTCTGTAGAGACTGATGTGACTGTGGGGGAGGGGGACATCAGAGTGTAAGCTCCTCTGGTACAGAGACTGATGTGACTGTGGGGGAGGGGACATTAGAGTGTAAGCTCCTCTGTACAGAGACTGATGTGACTGTGGGGGAGGGGACATTAGAGCGTAAGCTCCTCTGTACAGAGACTGATGTGACTGTGGGGGAGGGGACATTAGAGCGTAAGCTCCGCTGTACAGAGACTGATGTGACTGTGGGGGAGGGGACATTATAGCGTAAGCTCCTCTGTACAGAGACTGATGTGACTGTGGGGGAGGGGACATTAGAGCGTAAGCTCCTCTGTACAGAGACTGATGTGACTGGAGGGGAGGGGACATTAGAGCGTAAGCTCCTCTGTACAGAGACTGATGTGACTGTGGGGGAGGGGAAATTAGAGTGTAAGCTCCTCTGGTGCAGAGACGTGCGTTGTTGGAAATACAAGAGATCTAATATTACACTTTCTGGGTACAGTGTTACATACATACGTTGTTGATACATTGTTTCACTTTCAGTGGCTGTATACCGGGCAGTGATTGGCTGAGCAGATTTCGGGTTGCAGGATTCCTGTGATTTTTGATGGGGGTCAGTGGAGTGTCAGAATGTGAGAAATGTAAACACTGTGGGTGAGTCGGAGAGCTGGACCCAGATGTGGGACCTCGGGCCCTCGCAGAGGCCAGTAACTGCCCCGTATAACAGCTGGGCCGGCATTTATGGTGACCGTACGCGGCGGGGCGTCCATTTCTAAACCTGCGTCTGATTTTCAGGAAATTCTCGCTGAGCGTGAAAGGAGCGCGGCACAAACATCTGTCCCATCATTACTCTGTAAATCTCTGACTTCCTCCAATGTCAGTAAATAAAACCAACTCGGCACCACGCCAGCGTGCGTTACACGGGGATTACATACCGCGCTCTGCGATCCCTACATACGTGTGCGTGCGACCTCCCGAGTGACTGATAATCTGATGTGACATTCACTGATTTATATTGGCTGTCTCATATTTTCACAACAGACGGTTCCTATGGATGAGGGGAGGCGGGGTGGGGAGGCTGGAGGGGGGGGGTGGCGCTGTCCTTCCCCCCCCCCCCATAGCTGGAATTACAGGGGGAAGTAAGGGCCCTTAAAGTGAACCTGTCACTGGCAGGGGCGGACTGACCATTTGGAAACTCGGCCACTGCCCGAGGGCCCGGGGCCAGTAGGGGGCCCCATGAGATGCCCCTTGTACCTTTCATAGGCTTTTTTTGTGTACGGTTTAAGTGTGGGCAAGGACACAGGGGCCCCATGATCCCCTATTGCCTGGGGGCCCCATGAATTGTTAGTCCGCCCCTGGTCACTGGATATATTGTAGAGTGACACCCTAAGTAACCCTTCCAGCTATTGTTTACCTCTCACAGAGATCCCATGAGGTCCCCTGACACTGCCTTCATCTGCTTTCCTCTCCACAGGGACGGCACCATCCTTGTTCAGGCATCAACTTGGGTATCCGGCACGCAATCATGCAAATCAGGGTGCCTGTGCAGTTCTTGTTCACAAATGTTCGACACAGATCAGCCCCTGCTACAGCCTCTCATCTTGCTGCAAAGGTACAGTCTGATCGCTGGGGGAGGGGAGACTGAGGAAATGCTCCCTCCTGCCTGCAGCAGACTGATGACATCATCTGAGCCTAGGCAAAGTCACTGGACTGCAGACTAAGGAAGGCTGTGTGTGAGTCCAGGGTGAGACTTTCTGTAATAAAGACCGCTCACTGCTGCTCTCTCTCCTTGTGCAGGGTGACTGGTCTTGTCTCCGCCCCCTCTTGTAGTTTTCAGCAGGCAGCATGTAGTGGGTGGGGCCTGCTGGGCCTCTCCCACAGCTCTGCTCCCTCTTCTTGTGCAGGGTGACTGGTCTCGTCTTGTGCAGGGTGACTGGTCTTGGCTCCGCCCCCTCCTGTAGTTTTCAGCAGGCATCCTCTAGTGGGTGGGGCCTGTTGGGCCCCTCCCACAGCTCTGCTCTCTGTGCAAGGTGACTGGTCTTGTCTCCGCCCCCTCCTGTAGTTTTCAGCAGGCACCCTCTAGTGGGTGGGGCCTGTTGGGCCCCTCCCACAGCTCTGTTCTCTCTCCTTGTGCAGGGTGACTTGTCTCGTCTTGACTCCGCTCCCTCCTGTAGTTTTCAGCAGGCATCATCTAGTGGGTGGGGCCTGTTGGCCCCTCCCACAGCTCTGCTCTCTGTGCAGGGTGACTGGTCTTGTCTCCGCCTCCTCCTGTAGTTTTCAGCAGGCATCCTCTAGTGGGTGGAGCCTGTTGGGCCCCTCCCACAGCTCTGTTCTCTCTCCTTGTGCAGGGTGACTGGTCTCTTCTCTGCCCCTCTCCTGTAGTTTTCAGCAGGCAGCCTCTAGTGGGTGGGGCTTGTTGGGCCCCTCCCACAGCTCTGTTCTCTTTCCTTGTGCAGGGTGACTCGCCTTGTCTCTGCCCCCTCCTGTAGTTCTCTGTAGTGGGTGGAGCCTGCTGGGCCCCTCCCACAGCTCAGGCTATGTACAGCACAGTGGTGATGTCACTGCTACTTTTACAAGGTAATATCTGGCTTTGCAAAGGTATTTGCGCACAAAAGGGGGCTATTGAGTAATATATGTAAATGAAAGTTTTAGTGCTTTAAAAGGGGTCCTCTGACCGTTGGGGCCCCCAGCTGGGCCCTCTGACCGTTGTGGACCCTGGCTGGGCCCTCTGACCGTTGCGGCCCCCAGCTGGGCCCTCTGACCGTTGCGGCCCCCAGCTGGGCCCTCTGACCGTTGCGGCCCCTGGCTGGGCCCTCTGACCATTGTGGCCCCTGGCTGGGCCCTCTGACAGTTGTGGCCCCTGGCCGGGCCCTATGACAAATCTGAGTTCTCCCATATGGGACGGTGCACTGTGTTGATGGCCATTCGGAGCCATCGGAGGGTTGCAGCAGCGGCCGGGGTCAGAGTGCCGGGATATAACGCTCGGCTTCACATGTCTGTTGTGGAAAATTCTTTCCTGTAATGCTGAGCGACTTCCAGGAAGCGATGTGCGAGGACACGGCGTGCACTACGGAGCGATGGCGGGGCGGGGAGCTCCATGCTGGCTGGGAGTTTGTTGTGACGGCGGGGGGTGCGGAGAATGCCCCCGTTTTAGGGGGGGGGGGAGAATGCCCCCGCTTCATTTCTGCTTCTAGACAGCCGACAGTGCAGGACTGATCTTCAAACTATTCCTGAGGGTTGGTTCACACTATAGAAACACAGTTCGGATGCGTTTTTTCAGGTGCGTTTTTGATGCATTCCAGTTCATTTTTTTCTCCTCTGTTTTTCTTCAATTGAAATTGGGACATGTGCATTCCGGTGTGTTTTTGGTGCGTTCTGGTGCGTTTTTTATGCGTTTTAACACGTTCCAGTTCATTTTTCTCCCCCCCTCTCTTTTTTTTTCAATCTAAATAGGGACATGTGCATTTTAGTGCGTTTTTGGTGCATTCCAGGTGCATTTTTGATGTGTTTTATTGCGTTCCAGTACAGTTCTGTGCAGAAAAAATGCCGCATGTTCTACTTTTTTTTTTCTACAACCAAAACGCACTAGAACTGCAAGTGCTGATGTGATCTATGACATTGACACCCATATCACCGAATTTCTGTGCGTTTTGGATGCAGAAAAATTTGCCTAATTACATTCGATTGCCCCCATGCAGAGCGGACATACATGCAGCTTCACACGGCGTTATCTCTGCGATTTTTTTAATAAATACTTCTCTATGAGCTCCTGGCCAGAACCAATTTGGACATGGCGATACAGTCTCTGCCTCCCACCTCTGCCTATTGGCCGTCCACCTAACTGATTGGTACCTGGCCCAATGGCATCTGGTTTACTGGTCATGCGCCTGGCCCATTAGCACCTACTCAATGTTTTATTGGCACCTGCCCAATGGCATCTGGACTATTGGCCATGCACCCTGCCCATTGGCACCTACCCAATGGCATCTGGACTATTGGCCATGCACCCTGCCCATTGGCACCTACCCAATGGCATCTGGACTATTGGCCATGCACCCTGCCCATTGGCACCTACCCAATGGCATCTGGACTACTGGCCATGCACCCTGCCTATTGTCACCTGCCCAATGCAATATGGCCTATTGGCTGTGCACCTGGCCCATTAGCACCTACTCAATGTTTTATTGGCACCTGCCCAATGGCATCTGGACTACTGGCCATGCACCCTGCCCAATGGCATCTGGACTACTGGCCATGCATCCTGCCCAATGGCATCTGGACTACTGGCCATGCACCCTGCCCATTGGCACTTGCCCAATGGCATTTGGACTACTGGCCATGCACCCTGCCTATTGTCACCTGCCCAATGGCATATGGACTATTGGCCGTGTACCTGTCCCATTAGCACCTACTCAATGTTTTATGGACAATTGGCCATACAAGCTGCCCATTGGCATCAATCCAATGGCATCTGGACTATTGGCCATGATGCGCTTTGTCAAGTCTTGACAAAGCGCATGCGCGCGAAACATGTTGTCCCAGCAACCGGCCTCTTCCTTCTAAAGCTGCGGCTCCAGCAAGAGTTCCCCCCCCTCTGTCTCTCCACATCGTGGTGACGTCATCCAGGACGCTGGGACGTCGGGTAAACGTGGTCCCTGCACTGACAGGCATTCTACTCCACTGCTTCCCTCTGAGCGGACGGGCCGTCCATCTTGGAACCTGGCTTCCTAAAGCCACAGGCTGGTTATTTATTATTGTTTTACCATATGACTTATTAAAGGCACACCTCCATACAAGGTGTATTATTTCTATCACAAAACTACACAGCGCCTGGCTCCTGTTCATGCTGGATGAGAAGACCTGCTTCTCAGTTGCCATTCCAATTCATCCCAAATGTGTTCAACAGAGGTGAGGTCCGGGATCTGTGCAGGACACTCAAGTTGCTCCACGCTAAAGCCAGTCAAATCATGTATTTATGAAGAAAAGGTGTTCACTAAGGTTGAGGTCAGGCTCTGTGCAGTTCACTTTAGTACCTCCAAACTAAACTTGTTCAACCCTGTTCTTATAAAGCATTGGTGTTCAATAGGGTTGAGGTTAGGGCTCTGTGCAGGCCACTGAAATTCTTCCACACCAAACCGGCCTTATCATGTCTTTATGAAGCAAAGGTGTTTTGTAAGGTGAGGACTGGGCTCTGTGAAGACCACTCAAGTTCCTCCATGCCAGACTGGCCAAACTGTGTCTTTACAGAGCAAAGGTGTTCAGTAGGGTTGAGGTCAGTGCTCTGTGAAGGCCACTTGAGTTCCTCCACACCAAACTGGTTCAACTATGTTCTTGAGGAACAAAACTATATCCAATGGAGATGAGGTTAAGGCTCCGCGCAGACCACTAGAGTTCCTCCACACCCAACTGGTTCAACTATGTTCTTGAGGAACAAAAATATATCCAATGGAGATGAAGTCAGGGCTCTGTGCAGACCACTTGAGTTTCCCCACACCAAATTGGTTCAACTATGTTCTTGAGGAACAAAAATATATCCAACGGAGATGAGGTCAAGGCTCTGTGCAGATCACTTGAGTTCCTCCACACCAAACTGGTCCAACTATGTTCTTGAGAAACAAAAATATATCCAATGGAGATGAGGTCAGGGCTCTGTGCAGACCACTTGAGTTCCTCCACACCAAATTGGTTCAACAATGTCTACAGTGTATGGGGCAAAGGTATTTAGTAGGGTTGAGGTCAAGGCTTTGTGAAGGCCAATATGAGTTCCTCCAAAGTCAAATGGTCAAACCAAGTGTTTATGGAGCTGGCTTTGTACACAGGGACGGTGGAACAGAAAAAAATATTGGCACAAGGTTGGAGACACCTGTACGCCATCATTTGGTTTTGGAAGGGAATGTTCAACAAGTTCAAGGCATGCTGGTCTCCAGACTTTTGGTTATAACGTGTCCATGCTGTTAGGTTGGGTACTAATTGATGACCTTTCCTGCCACCAACCAGGCACCTATAGAAGTCTTCTTATAGGTAGTTAGTGAGTGTTTATATACACTCCCCCCCCCCCATGTTCACTATTTATACTTGTGTAGCTAGAGGTCGAAGAGCTGCTCACCACCCCTTCTCTACTTCATCTTCAAGTGGCCCTGTCACTGACCTCATATCAGAGTGCTGTATTGTACCTTAGCAAGCCAGAAGGTACGAGACTTCAGCAGGGGCTGATCTGTGTCACACATTTGTGAACACATCCAAGATCTTTATTATTATTATTATTGTATTATATTATTATTATTTTATAGTAAATATTTAGCCATTCTCGATATCCTGAAGTCACAAATTTCTTTCTTTTTTTGTCTTCCTAGATGATCAGCTTGGCATCATGTCTTAGCCGGGTGATAGTCTTTGTCGCTGTAGTCTCCATCTCTGCAGTGCTGTCACTTACATGGGAGGAGGAAGGTAAGTCCGAGGTCATAGACCCCTGATGCCCAACCTGTGAGAGCAGAGATCTCTCTAGTAGTCTAATGCAGGGGCAGACTGACAACTCATGGGGCCCCCGGGCAATAGGGGATCATGGGGCCCCTGTGTCCTTGCCCAAACTCAAAAAAGCCTATGAAAAAGGTACCAGGGGCATCTCATGGGGCCCCCTACTGACCCTGGGCCCTTGGGCAGTGCCCGAGTTTCCAAATGGTCAGTCTGCCCCTGGTCTAATGTAATGTGTCTCTAGATGATGACTGTTTCCGGAAGCATGTCCCCAGTCTCTGACCATCTCCTCTAGCATGTCTGCAGTCTCTGACCATCTCCTGTAGTATGTCTGCAGTCTCTGAACATCTCCTGTAGTATGTCTGCAGTCTCTGACCATCTCCTGTAGTATGTCTGTAGTCTCTGACCATCTCTTGTAGTATGTCTGCAGTCTCTGACCATCTCCTGTACAATGTCTGTAGTCTCTGACCATCTCCTGTAGTATGTCTGCAGTCTCTGACCATCTCCTGTACAATGTCTGCAGTCTCTGACCATCTTCTGTACTATGTCTGCAGTCTCTGACCATCTCCTGTATCATGGCTGCAGTCTCTGACCATCTCCTGTATCATGTCTGCAGTCTCTGACCATCTCCTGTATCATGTCTGCAGTCTCTGACCATCTCCTGTACTGTGTCTGCAGTCTCTGACCATCTCCTGTACTGTGTCCACAGTCTCTGGTCATCCCCTGTACTGTCCGCAGTCTCTGACCATCTCCTGTACTATGTCTGCAGTCTCTGACCATCTCCTGTACTGTGTCCACAGTCTCTGGTCATCCCCTGTACTGTCCACAGTCTCTGACCATCTCCTGTACTATGTCTGCAGTCTCTGACCATCTCCTGTACTGTGTCCGCAGTCTCTGGTCATCTCCTGTACTGTGTCCGCAGTCTCTGGTCATCTCCTGTACTTTGTCCGCAGTCTCTGGTCATCTCCTGTACTTTGTCCGCAGTCTCTGGTCATCTCCTGTACTGTGTCCGCAGTCTCTGACCATCTCCTGTACTGTGTCTGCAGTCTCTGACCATCTCCTGTACTGTGTCTGCAGTCTCTGGTCATCTCCTGTATTGTGTCCGCAGTCTTTGATCATCTCCTGTATTGTGTCTGCAGTCTCTGACCATCTCCTGTACTGTGTCTGCAGTCTCTGACCATCTCCTGTACTGTATCTGCAGTCTCTGGTCATCTCCTGTAGTATGTCTGCAGTCTCTGGTCATCTCCTGTAGTATGTCTGCAGTCTCTGACCATCTCCTGTACTATGTCCGCAGTCTCTGACCATCTCCTCTACTGTGTCTGCAGTCTCTGACCATCTCCTGTACTGTGTCTGCAGTCTCTGACCATCTCCTGTACTGTGTCTGCAGTCTCTGGTCATCTCCTGTACTATGTCCGCAGTCTCTGACCATCTCCTGTACTGTATCTGCAGTCTCTGACCATCTCCTGTACTGTGTCCGCAGTCTCTGGTCATCTCCTGTACTGTGTCCGCAGTCTCTGGTCATCTCCTGCACTGTGTCCGCAGTCTCTGGTCATCTCCTGTACTGTGTCCGCAGTCTCTGGTCATCTCCTGTACTGTGTCCGCAGTCTCTGGTCATCTCCTGCACTGTGTCCGCAGTCTCTGGTCATCTCCTGTACTGTGTCTGCAGTCTCTGGTCATCTCCTGTACTGTGTCCGCAGTCTCTGGTCATCCCTGTACTGTGTCCGCAGTCTCTGGTCATCTCCTGTACTGTGTCCGCAGTCTCTGGTCATCTCCTGTACTGTGTCCGCAGTCTCTGACCATCTCATGTAGCATGTCTGTAGTCTGACATATTTTCATGGAGCCATTTTCTATACAGATATATGGGGGCCCTCTAGTCCCTGTCCTTCTCTTAGATATCGCAGTCAGCATTTTTCCTGAACAGCTGCTGTAAGAAAATCAAAAAGAGACAAAAGAAAGTCAAACCACAGAGATGGTCTGGATACAGGAAATGACATTCTGAAATATGGAAGAGCAGGAAAGCAAAGATGACTTTCAGACTCGGAGGATACATTGTGGTTTGTTTTCTGCACATTGTTGGATGCGATCAGCTGAGAGACAGAACAGCCATTAATATTTCATACGGATGTGAGAGGCAATTATACAGAGAGGTGACTAGGAGAGGGGATATCCATGAGCAAAGTCGCGTGTGTGTGTGTGTGTATACCCGGGGACTCAGCACAGGGATGGTGGGAACCCCTCATAATGGGCACAGCGGGTGTACAGACCCGGGAACTCAGCGCAGGGATGGTGGGAACCCCTCATAATGGGCACAGTGGGTGTACAGACTTGGGGACTCAGTGCAGTGATGGTGGGAACCTCTCACAATGGGCACAGCGGGCGTACAGACCCAGGAACTCAGAACAAGGATGGTGGGAACCCCTCATAATGGGCACAGTGGGTGTACAGACTTGGGGACTCAGTGCAGTGATGGTGGGAACCTCTCACAATGGGCACAGCGGGTGTACAGACCCAGGAACTCAGAACAAGGATGGTGGGAACCCCTCATAATGGGCACAGCAGGTGGGTACTGCATAATATAATTATAGGCTTTGGGTAAACATATTTTTTTACATTGTGTGCTATGGCTACTTTTTGCCTGCACCAAAGAAACAGGAAGGTATTGCAGGAAGGCTATGGGTTCTGCTGCTGAAACAGATTGAGTTTTTCTTCTTTTTTTTTTTTTTTTTCAAGCAGATGTAATCCCGATCATTACCCTCCCAAATGAGCTTTTACATATTAACGTCATTTAATGAGTCAATTTTAAGATTTTTCAAATTGCATCTTTCATATAAATAACCTGTGGTGATCCTGCCAGCTGGTCCTTATACAGGCACTTCCTGTCATAGGGTGACAACGCTGTGTCCGTATCTACCCACTATCCTCCTGTGTTGTCACCCTGTCACGTGGGCTTCAGATAGTGACTACAAATGACACCTTACACAGCCACAGTCACCATCAAGAAACCCGCCCTGAGCAGTATCAGGCAGCCATTGCTTGTGGAAAGATACAAATAGATTACACCGAGCAGAATGTTACCTTGTTACTGACACAGGAGATCACAACTATAGATACAACTGTCATTTTTTTTTTTTTTTTTTGTTTCAGGTGTTGTCTATGGCAGGATTAATGACACGGTTACCTTGCAGTGTAATGGCCATAATGACAGGTAGGTCGGGGGACTCTGGACGATGGGGGCCCTTCATATCCTGACAGCAGTGTATATATATACACACACACACACACACACATATATACAGTTGCAAGAAAAAGTATGTGAACCCCTTGGGATTACGTGGAGTTTTGCATGAATTGGGCATAAAATGTGCTCTGAACGTCATCTAAGTCACAACAATAGAAGAACACAGTCTGCTGAACATAATACTACACAAACATTAGATGTCGCCATGGTTTAATTGCACATAACATGTAAACATTCACAGTGCAGGGAGGAAAAAGTATGTGAACCTTTGGACTTAATAACTGGTTGACCCTCCTTTGGCAGCAATAACCTCAACCAAACGTTTCCTGTAGTTGCAGATCAGACCTGCACAACGATCTGGAGTCATTTTGGACCACTCCTCTTCACAAAACTGTTTCAGTGTAGCAATATTCTTGGGATGTCTGGTGTGAATCGCTCTCTTAAGGTCATGCCACAGCATTTCAATTGGGTTGAGGTCAGGACTCTGACTGGGCCACTCCAGAAGGCGTATTCTGTGCTGTTGCAGCCATTGTTTTGTTGAATTACTTGTATGCTTTGGGTCATTGTCCTGTTGCATCACCCATCCTCTGCGGAGCTTCAGTTGGCGGACAGATGGTCGTACGTTTTCCTGCAAAATGTCTTGATAAACTCTGGAATTCATTTTCCCATCAATGACAACAATCCATCTAGGCCCTGAGACAGCAAAGCAGCCCCAAACCATGATGCTCCCTCCGCCATGTTTCACAGTGGGGATGAGGTTTTTGATGTTGGTGTGCTGTGCCTTTTTTTCTCCACACATAGTGTTGTGTGTTCTTCCCAAACAACTCAATCTTGGTTTCATCTGTCCACAGTATATTTTGCCAGTAGTGCTGTGGAACATCCAGGTGCTCTTTTGCAAACTTCAAACGTGCTGCAATATTCTTTTTGGCCAGCAATGGCTTCCTCCGTGGTGTCCTCCCATGTACTCCATTCTTGTTTAATGTTTTCCTTATTGTAGATGGGTCAACAAAAATGTTAGCATGTGCCAGAGATTTCTGTAGGTCTTTAGCTGACACTCTGGGATTCTTCTTTACCTCATGCAGCATTCTGCGCTGTGGTCTTGCAGTCATTTTTACAGGACGACCACGCCTAGGGAGAGTAGCAACAGTGCTAAACTTTCTCCATTTGTAGACAGTCTGTCTTACTGTGGACACATGAACATCAAGGCTCAAGGAGATACTTTTGTAACCCTTTCCAGCTTCATGAAAGTCAACAATTCTTGATCGTAGGTCTTCTGAGAGCTCTTTTCTGCGAGGCATGGTTCACATCAGACAGTGCTTCTTGAAACCAGTAAACCCAAAACAAATGTGTGTTTTTTAAGGGCAGGACAGCTGTCAGCAACACATCCAATATCATCACACTGATTGGAGTCAAGGTTGGCTCACTCCTGGCTCCAATTAGCTCTGGGAGAAGTCATTAAGATAGGGCCTCACATACTTTTTCCTCCCTGCACTGTGAATGTTTACATGTTATGTACAATTAAACCATGGCAACATCTAATGTTTGTGTAGTATTATGTTCAGCAGACTGTGTTCTTCTATTGTTGTGACTTAGATGACGTTCAGAGCACATTTTATGCCCAATTCATGCAAAACTCCACGTAATCCCAAGGGGTTCACATACTTTTTCTTGCAACTGTATATATATATATACACACACACACATATATATATATATATATACACACACACACACATATATATACATACACACACACACACACACATATATATATATACATACACACACACACACAATCCAGAAAGTATTCCCAGCGCCTAGCTTTTCCCACAGTTTGTCATGTTCCATCCTTACTCCACAATGGATTACATTCATTTTTTTCCTCCACATTCTACAAACAATACCCCATAATGACAACGTGAAAGAAGTTTGTTTTGAAATCTCTGCAATTTATTAAAAAAAAAAAAAAAAAAAAAAACCCCACAAGTGCATAAGTATTCCCAGCCCCCCCCCATGTACATAAGTATTCCCAGCCTTTGCCCAATACTTGGTTGAAGCCCCTTTAGCACCAATTCCAGCCTCAAGTTGTTTGGAGTATGAGGCTACAAGCTTGGCAGACCTATTTTTGGGCGATTTCTCCCATTCTTCAAGCTCCATCAGGTTGGATGGGGAGGGTCAGTGCACAGCCATTCTCAGATCTCTCCAGAGATGTTCAATTGGGTTCAAGTCGTGGCCACTCCAGGACATTCACAGAGTTGGCCCGTAGCCACTCCTTTGTTATGTGGGCTGTGTGCTTAGGGTTGTTGTCCTGCTGAAAGATGAACCATCACCCCAGTCTAAGCTCCAGAGCGCTCTGGAACAGGTTTTCACCGAGGATGTCTCTGTACATTGCTGCATTCATCTTTCTTTCCATCCTGACTGGTCTCCCAGTTCCTGCCGCTGAAGAACATCCCCACAGCATGATGCTACCACCACCATGCTTCACTGTAGGGATGGTATTGGCCAGGTGGTGAGCGGTGCCTGGTTTCCTCCAGACATGACGCTTGGCATTCAGGCCAAAGAGTTCAATCTTTGCTTCATCGGACCAGAGAGTTTTGTTTCTCATGGTCTGAGAGTCCCTCAGGTGCCTTTTAGCAGACTCCAGGTGGGCTGCCATTTGCCTTTTACTGAGGAGTGGCTTCCATCTGGCCACTGTACCATACAGGCCTGATTGGTGTCGTGCTGCTGAGATGGTTGTTCTTCTGGAAGGTTCTCTACTCGCC